TTTATCAGTCACATTATTTTGATTTCAATGTGGATCCTAGAATGATGGTCATTCACTTACCGTAGTTTATATTTCAGCAATTAATAAATTGGATGCAATAATAAATTGGATGCAATTAGATGGATTTACTTCTATAGAATCATGTACTGGCTATACTTTTTATAAATATTATTTATTTAACTAATTCTTATTTTTAAGGTGGCAGCCTTCTCAAAGCATCATTTCACAAGGTGCTTGTAAAATTGATACCCCTCCTCCATATTTTTTTAAAAAAATGTTTTATAAAAAAAACCTTGTCTAATGTGAAAGAGCTGATTATGAGTTTGGGCATTAGAAAAATGTACTCGGGTTGGGGAGGATTTTTTCTTTCTTCACAGATGTGGCCTTGTGCCTTAGGCTTGCTTTTTTTTTTAGATCAAGGTGTTAAGAGGTGAGGTCAACATGACCGTCTCAGTGACCGAAGGAATGGAGGTACTTATGTCCTTTTGACAATTAGATAAATCATCTAATTTAATTGGAAGCAAAAATTCTCCACTCTTTCATGATTCCCCGGACATTATGACACGAAGCAACTGGGTGCAATCCTATCAGCGGCACTATAAATGCCAACTGCTCTTTTGTAACGCCCCAACTGGTCTGTCATCTGCTTCTCTTTCTTCCCTTCCTCCCAGAAAGGCCAAGGGCCGGGCTTCCTCCAGCACGGCCAAGAGGTAGTAGCCCCCCACCTCGCCTCAGGAACCGCCAAGTGCCCGAACTCCGGGGCTGTGCCTCGGCTGGCCTAATTAACTTCTCGCACGCACGTGGGATCTTGTTTCAGGCGCTCCCTGAAGCACCTCCACTTCTCGGCAACCGTTTCCTCTCGGACGGTTTGAGAGGCAACCCGCATAGATAAATTAAGGTGAGAAGCGGGGCGGCCTGAGACATCATTCTCACGCCCTCCTACGTGACGATCAGATCAACCGGCGTTTATCGGAGGGGGGGGGCGACAAGGGGAGAAACGAGGTTCCATTCTCGTTATGCTATCGCCAAGTTCCAGATGCTCGGAAGCTGGAATACGAATGCTTGCATCCCAGAAGAGTTTTTGCACCTCAGAAAAGCGAACTCAGGGAGAACTTGTGAACTACATGACTGTTACTGACGGGGAGGCCTCCACAATTCTATTTCCGCGCTCTCGTAGAAAGCCGCAGGCCGCACAGCCAGCAGTTAGGGAGGAGGCGTGGCCGACAACACGTAAGGGTGTTCGCAGCCAACAGGAGCCGACTTTATACATGAGTGATCGACATACATGGCCAGTAAGCGGGAGGTTTGTTGCGGAGTGGCCGCGCGACCCGAGAAGCCTATAAAAGGAGGCCAGGCGGGAGCGTGCTTTCGCCCCACGGATAGCTGTGCGCCGTCGTGTCCGTTTGTCTGTCAGGAACTGCGCGGGAGGGGAGGAGCCACTGGTCGCCGCTGACGACATCGGCAGAGACCGGCAGGCTCGCGACTAAGCTTTAAGGACCGGATTCCGGTTCCTCCTGGGAAAGGCGAGCCGAGCGGCGTTTAAACGTGAGTCTCGGGAACCCGAGGCGGGGAGGGGGGGGGGCGGCGGCGGCGCTTGGTGTAGCGGCTTCGCGTGGCGAGGCCGAGTGGAGCGCGCGCTCCTTCCTTCCTTCCGTGCGTCTGGAGGCGCCATCTCTCTTTTTTTCCCTCCCTTCGCAGGCCTCGCTGAGGGGAGAGAACTTCCGTTGTTGTCGCTTTACGCAGGTTCGAGGCAGCGGCGCACTCTTTCTGGGCTAGGGAATCATGGCCGAGGTGGAGCACCAGTTTGGCGCCACCCAAAACGGGCACGAAGCTGCGGCGGCGGCAGCGGCGGCGGCGGCCGAGGAATCCGTGAGTGGCGGCGACGAGGAGCTGTTGCAGCCGGAGCAGCAGCTTGAAGAGGAGGAGGAAGAAGAAGAGGTGGTGGCGGCGGCGGTGGTGGTGGCAGAGGCCGGAGAGGAGGAAGAGGAGGGGGACGGCGAAGGAGAAAGCGAGGAGGCAGGGCAATCGGTAGCTTCTGCAGAAGTTAGTGGCAGCCAGAATGGAGCCGAAGGCGATCAGATAAATGCAAGCAAGAACGAGGAGGATGCGGGGTAAGGTTGGCGGGCCTCGTTGGCTTGCCCCCGCCCACATTCTGTGGTTTCCGGCGCCATGCACGGCGACAACCTGCTCGGAGGAGTGACAGGCCCGAACCCGCTGCTTTGGCTCGGCTCCAATCCCGTCCTTAACGCTTTTTCTTGCCTTGCCTGAGATCTCTCTCTTTTTTGCCGAGGGTGATTGGCGCGCGGGTCCTTCCTTTTCTGGCCTTGCTTTTGCCGTTGAAATAGACAATGAGCCGAAACCGGGCTGCAGCAGTCGGTCCTCCTTTGTTCTTGAAGCTGCCTTTTGTTGGCGCCATGTGGTGGTGGGGGGGAAGGAGGGGCGATTAAGGCTCCTGGTTTCCTGAAATGGCAGTAGTCTAGGCCTCCCCCCCTTTTTTTCTTTGTGTGCCATTTGAGGACAGCTTGCTGCCCTTGCTTCTGTACTAAAAGTTGAAAAGGTAAATGACCCCTTCTTCCTAAAATATATTAACGTGCTAGTTGGAAGGGAGTCAGAAGTAGCTGCTTAAGAACTTTGAACCTGAACATATGTTTCTGAAATTATTTGCTGGCAGTGTAACTTAACTAGCAATTGCAGATCGATTAGCATGTATGCAGTTTAGTTTCTTTAGGTGATTAGGTAACTCCAGCATAATCTTTATATAAGTGATGCTGAGTTGTTTACTATATTTTATCTCCCATTTTGTATGTTTTTTCCTGTCCCATTAATTTTTTTAGGGAAAGTCTGGACTTTTAAGTGGACTCCCACAAAAAACATCCTTTTACATAATTATGTACAGCCAAACTGAAGTGCCAGGAGTCTTCAATGTATCTAAAGTTTGTAATAGAGCCAACTTATTATAATATAAAATCAAACTGGTAATCATTTAAACACAAAGTTTGAGTTTTGATGAAGGCTGTACGCTCAAAACTTGAGTTAGAATCATTAATTTTTATAACTTGTGTTAGTAAAATACTTTGGTTTGCTTAGCTTTTATTGTATCTCAGGGCCTGAAATTGAAGGCAATTGAACCACAGATATAACTATGTAAACTTGTTTTATGAAATGCTATGTACATCACAAATTACAGAAGTTCAGTTATACTGAGACATGATGAAATGCAGGTGGTCTTCAACTTATGGTTGCAACTGAGCCCCACATTTCCATTAGTAAATAAGGCGATTGAGTTTTGCCCCATTTTGCAGCCTTTTTAGCTACAGTTAAATGAATCACTGCTGCTGTTAAGTGGATTCATTAAGTGAATCCAACTTTATCCTTTGATTTTGCTTATTAGAAGCTATCTGGGAAGATTATAAATGGTGATCAAAAAAATGCTTGAATTTTGATCATGTAGCTGTGGGGATACTGCAATGGTCTTAAATGTGAAAAATGGTAATAAGTTACTTTTTTCAGTAACTGAACTGTCACTAAACCAGTGGTAGTAAATTGAGGACTACTTGTATTGCTATGGTAACAGTGATCATTTCTCAGTGTGTCTTACTTGCCTTGTTGCAGGAAAATGTTTGTTGGTGGTCTTAGTTGGGATACAAGCAAAAAAGACTTAAAAGACTACTTTACTAAATTTGGTGAAGTAACTGATTGCACAATAAAGATGGATCCTAATACAGGCAGATCAAGAGGTTTTGGATTCATTCTCTTCAAAGAAGCAGGAAGTGTTGATAAGGTGAGTGATAGACTGAGATATATTACTTAGACTACTGTTAATGTTATAAATGTTCTGTCATCCTGATTTGTTGAACTGCTTTGTAGGTTTTGGAGCAAAAAGAACACAAATTAGATGGAAGAGTGATTGATCCTAAGAAAGCAATGGCAATGAAAAAGGATCCTGTGAAGAAAATATTTGTTGGTGGACTTAACCCAGAGGCAACAGAAGACAAAATCAGGGAATATTTTGGAGAGTTTGGAGAGGTATATAATCTGATGCAAGTTTAGATAGACAGGCTAGCTTTAACTTGAAAATAGTGAAGCAAATTGTTTCAATCCACAGTAATTGTAGGTAAAAATATGGGGTATATTATCCAGATATTGATTATAATAACAGGTGTGCAATACACATACATATTCAATTAAATTAGAATTGGTTACATCATGGCATTTCTTTAAATGGTTGACAAATGTATCATAAATCTATTTTATTGCTTTCTGTACTTGTGTTTCCTTGTGGCATAGTATATAGTAAATTCTAATAGGCCTTAATTGTTTAGAGCAGCAAATTGTCATCCTTAGATGAAATCTGCAAATTATGAAAATCAATATTGCAGAGCAATAATAGTTTGCATTTGTTACATTATTTTATCAATGTAGCTTTATCTACTAAGTTCCTAGTGCTTAATAAGTTGCAGTTTTTAACACAAGACTGTTGTACTCTGAAGAAATAAGAGATAGAGATTGACCAGAATTGCTGAATAAGGTAATATATGACATAATTTCAATAAACTTGAAATATTATGTTTCTTTAGATTGAAGCGATTGAACTTCCAATGGATCCAAAGACCAATAAAAGAAGAGGGTTTGTATTCATCACATTTAAGGAAGAAGAACCAGTGAAGAAAATATTAGAGAAAAAATTCCACAATGTCAGTGGTAGTAAGGTAGGCATTCTGCTATAGTGGATTGAAATCTATTCACTCTATATATCTTGCACATGGTTGGAAGGTGAAAAGAAAAAGAATTACACAAAGTTTATTTTGAATGTGAAAACTATATAGGAAACAGACTAAACGAGTACAGTATATTGTATAATATTTTAGCCACGAGATCTGTTTTTTGCACTACAGAATTAGAAAATATCCAGTTTAATATAATTTCCTTTGCATAATCAAAGATTTGAACATCAGCAATTGTAGATGGCATTACAATGTACATGTCTTTTTTCACAAGAAGTGAGGGCTAACTGTTTCTAGACAATATTAAATTTATATGCTGCCTATTTACTTTTAAAGTAATTCATAATAATTTTCATTACATTATCCCAAACAAGTTTTAGTTAATAGCTAAATATAATTTGAGAAATATGTAGTGCCTATCATTAAATATGATTTAACATACTTTAGCAAATTACTGAAAAACAGGGATAGTTTGTATGAAAGTAGTATATTAGTTATTTACAGTTTCATGAAAACAGCCAGTGGCATCTCAGACTTAGAAACTATAGATTATTATTCCCTCAAAAAATAATAATATGTGGATCACATTTGTTGATGGGGCTTGGAAATAATGTAAGCAGGAAGGGTGGAATCCGTAGACACTAAGTTGTATTTATATAATGCTGGTATACTACTGTTATTTGAATATCACAGCCAGGGTCAGTTAAGTAACCAACAATATAACAGGCCTTTATCACCCCTTTTACAGCTTCTAGAGCCTGTGACATGGCGCTTGATTTTTAGTTTTGCTTTCTTTTTCTTCATAAACCATAACTGCAAACTAGGTCAAAATATTGATCTTAACAATGCGATATCATTGGAAATAATCCCCATTGCCCTCAAAGTCACTCTTTAAAATGCAACCACTTTCAAAACAGGAAGTATCTTTCTTTTGTTACTTTCTCTATAGTTGTTTCCCTGAACTAGGATTATAGCTAGAAGGATAAAGGTTTCTTAAACAATGGACTTAAAGAAGCATTTTTGTTAATTTTTATTAATTTGCTTAGATCCTGTGAATAGTAAGGAAATAAACTTTTTTGAAAATCAGTTGAATAAGAAGACATGAAAACATTAATATAACACTAGGTAACTTAGCCAAAAATAGGAAGTTGCTTGATTAGAATATTGACTGCTTGAAGCAGAAGGATATAAAGCAAAATACAAATAGTGGTAGAATGTGGAAGCATATTTTAAGAGCAGAACTTATAGTGGGGGAGCTAGAATGCTGGAACACTGGATGTTGCCAAACTTCAACTGCCAATAATTCCAGTAATCATGAAAACGATGAGGGATAATGGATGTAATTCAACAATATTTGGAAGGCACATGTTGCCCTGTTTTGGGTTATAGTCAGTGTCTAATAGTTTAAAACTCATGTGCTTGGCATTCATAGAATTATCAGATGAAAAATATGTGTACACTGGTAATCCTTGACTTAAGACCACAATTGGGGCTAGAATTTCTATTGCTAAGCAATGTGTTTGTTAAGTGAGTTGTGCCAGATTTTATGACCTTTTTTTTCAATGATTGTTAAATGAATCAGATGTTCATTAAGTGAATGCATCTTCCTCTCATTGACTATGCTTCACATGACCCCAAGATAGTTCAGCTATCATGAATACATGTGTGTTGCCAAGTTCCTGAGTTTTGATCATGTGACTGAGGATACTGTGATTGTCATAAGTGTGAGGACTATTCCTAATTTACTTTTTTCAGTACCATTGTAACTTCAAATGGTTGCTAAATGAATGATGGTTAAGTCAAGGACTATGTGCACTTTTGGCTATATTCATGTGATATATTTAGCCATAGTTAACCATATTTTGCTTAACCTGTTTCTTGGTTTCAGACACCTTATGGAAATTTAATCATGTAAACTGGGTTTATGCAGTTTGAGAGTTTGAAAGAGTACTGAGTTTATAGATTATATCTTATAAATTCTAGTACAGTGTTAACTTCTGTGCAGCAGAAGTGTTCGCTAGAATATTTGCCCTCAGATTTCATTATTTGAAAAGTATTTTTGTAATCCAGATATTTGAACATTTATAACTTGTGGTATGTATATGTAGTATTGAATGTTAAGAACATCTGTTTTACATTACGATCTTTTCAGTGTGAAATTAAGGTAGCACAGCCAAAAGAAGTATATCAGCAGCAACAGTTTGGTTCTGGGGGCGGCCGAGGAAGAGGTGGAAGAAGAGGTACGTATTGCATTCAATACTCTAGAATGGACAGATTATAAAATACAGGGTTTTCCAGGTGATTTTCCTTCTATAGAAGAGTTTTTGAATATAGGATGTAGCTGTCAAGACTACAACTATTCAGTGTATGTATATTTTGGATGGGACCTGGCTAGATACCTGCAGGCATGACTAAATACTAATTTAATGCATTTGATTGCTTACTTATAGGTCAAGGCAGTTCAAATTATGGGAAGGCTCCAAGACGTGGACATCAGAATAACTACAAGCCATATTGATCAAAAGTATTCAGGTATGCAGTGGCATGCTCTAATGCACAAAACTACTGCATATGTTTTGTACTTAATGCTGTAGATGGACATTACAATTATGTACCAAAATTAACTTTACAATACATTTCTATGGCCTGTTATGTGTATCTGAAGACTTCCCTGGAAATGTCTTTGTTTAATATTTACAGATAATAGTTGTCTAGAGAGTGTGGTGTGTAAATTTCAGCCTTGCTGAAGATTAATGATTTTATTGATAGGTTAAATTGAAATGATTTTGAGGGGTCTGCTTAAAGCTGCAGCTTCTGCCCGTTGGAGTTAACCACGTTATTCCAGTTGTACAGAATGAGATGCATCTTAGGGAACCAGTATCACTTTCCACCTTTTTATTTTGTATTGGTTTTGTGTCATACATTTCCTGTAATGGAAGTGTTAATTTTACTGTACTTTTTGGTACCTTTTTGGAATCTAATGTATTGTAAGGTATTTTACATGTGTTCTGATTCACCATGACATGGATATTGATGCTATTCTAGCTTTTGAATAAAAAAGCATAATACAGTATCCTGTGCCATTATTCCAGCTATCCTTTTGTAGCTCAGAGAAAAGAAGCCTTAGAATTTCATTAGAAGCACTGGTGGCTGGTTGGATGCGTAAATTTTAGAAGTTGGGTTTAGAGCATGTTTTAACCCTAAAATTGATGAAAGACCAGCAAAGCTTAATTGTTTAATCACAAATTCAAAGTATTGTTGAGGTAGGAAAAACCAAGAAACAGAACAAGTATTATATTTCAGGCAAATTTTAGGATTAAGAATAGTGTATTATTGCCTTGCGTAGGAATAAAGGTCATAGGAATTTAGGAGTAAATTTATAGAATTAAATACCTAAAATACTGAAGGGCTCAAGGCTGTATTTACACACACAAGAAAATATTAGACATGCTTACACTATAGTCTGCTTTTTTGTATATGCAAGTTCAATTTAACTGCTTTCAAAATCTGAAAACATGCTCAATAACATATGTACAAAACTCCTGGATGCTTATGTAGTACACTCATTATATTTGAACCTTCCCTAGGTTAATTGATCATACTTAAATCTGTCAATCTGACTGGCTTTTGTACTCTTATGTGTTTTATTAGTATTTAGAAATTAAACATTTCATGCTAAAATTATTAAGCAAATATTAAAGCTCGTAAACATTGGATTTTCAGTACTGTTTCCAAGTTTTTTTCAACTATTCTATAGCTTCTTCCAAGCTTATTCTGAGCTATTGTAGTCATGTTACTATTTTCATTAGATAATAGGTGATAGCAGTTCTACTGTCAAATATGGGTAAAGATCTTTAATGCACTATAAGTACATTAAATTCTACATTTAAAGTTTCTAAAAATATAGCTTGCCTCAGCTGGGTATAAGCTCAGAAGAATATCATGCATTTTTATTTAGAATAATAATTTCTTGCTTAAATCAAAGATATTACAATGACAGCTCTGTGTTAATGGAAGTTTTAATTGCATGTGTAACAGCCATGGTTAAAACTAGGTTTGGAAGAGGAAGTTGTCTCTGGAGAGACAATACAGTCACTTATCCATGGGATAAATAATATGTTATGAACATAGATTTTACTTGTATAATAATAGATATTAACCCCAAATTAGAACTCATTGTTTAAGCTCATTTAACAATAGCTATGGACTGGCTCCAGTTATTTAATTTTTGACCATTTTTATATGGTAATCTGCATGGTTTGCTTGTCTCAGGGTATTTGAAACAAATTCAAACAAATAAGGTTTGAAAATGAGTTTTGATTTTGACAGTCATGCTGAACTGTGTCCTGTGAGAAATTAAAAGGCTACTGAAAATATACCTAAATACTTACAAAAAAGTTGTCCACAATGATACAAGAACATTTTAAGACTTATTTGCTAGAATGTCAAATCCTATTCACTGAAAGTGAATTAAATATAGTTCTTCTGAAGGTGAAACTAATAACTACTACACTCCAGAACATATGAGCTAGAGTGGTAGAAGTAGGTAATACTATATCTGAGTTGCTTCTGATCAAGAACTGCTAATTCAATTAGACATAAAATGACTATTATGCAATTTTTCTGACCATCAATCGGCTATTATAATCAATTGGATATCCAGCAGGAGTTCCTGAAAGACATGTATGTTCACATTACACTAAAATTATAATTATCCGTCTTGTCTCTGGCTATGAACTTAAAAGATCGCATTCTTGTTCTCCGTAATGGATGTGACAGTGGACTTTCCAACCTTACTTCCTTTTGAATATTTTAATACTGTTTTCATCTTGTTTTTTGTGCCCCAAAGAATGGAAGTTTTATGACTGCTCCAAGTGTAGATAGTGCTATATTTTGCATGTTTTGATATGTAAGACTTTTTATTAATGTGCAGCATAAAAGAATACTGAAGTTCTATTAAGCACATTTTACCATTTTTTTAAAAAAATGTTTTCATTTGCTTTAAGTCACAGGTCTTAGGAATTGAAACATCAGAGCCTGACATAACAAATGTGAACAGGATTTTACATTATAAAATGTATTTTCTAGTGAAATACAGAAAATTAGCTGTAGCTGAAAGAGGAAAGAAACTGCTTATGGAGAAATAAGAGGTACCAATTTGATACTGTTATGACTGAGAGACATAGCAGAACTATCTTTAGTGATGGAATGCCATCTCAATAGTACAGAAAAATAGGTAACATGTTTGAAGATAGTAGTTGTTAAACACTGTCCTTAGAAAATGGGTTGCTTTTCATTGGTTACAACATTTTGGTATAAATACTTTTTGATCTGTCAGCTTCTTAAAATAAGCATTCCCCTTTTTTCTGAATTACTGTAATGGGAGAGCTATGCTTTCCAAATAAAAATAGGTTGTCAGCATTGGCAACAATACTTTCTTTTGTAAATAAAACATTTCTATGGGATGCTACAAATCTTACAAAAACAATTCCCATGAGTCTAATGTTTGCATGTTTTATTAAATAATGGGTGCCTACCAATTTGTTAATGTTACAACGAAAACTGACTTATTAGATCAAAGGTGCCAATTGTGAAATATAGGTAAAAATAAGAATATACATATATATTGTCCTGCAACCTGGACAAGCTATGTTTTCTGGATAAATTATGTTTTCCTCTTTACTATATTAATAGTTGCATTAGTAGAGATAATAGCAATACAGCAATCACAAGCTGTATTGCTAAAAATAATGTCAGCAATACAATTAAACTACATAGACTGTATTAAGAAAGCTTAAAGAAGGCAGAATTTTATTATTGTAATTTTAAGTGTAGAAAAATGGTAGAATTCTGCACCATGTATCCTGTAAAAAAAGGGATGAAAGAATTCAGTATTCACATGGAAAAGAGTTAATTTTTTTATAATTTATGCTTGACACGCTGTTGGCAATATATTGTTGGAATATGATTTGAAATTCAGGATAATGAAATTAATGGTTTCTGCATAAAAAAATATGCTTTTTACATATAATAATAGTACATGAATGCTTACCTCTTATAGCCATGGAAATCATCATCTTTAGGTTTTTTTCCTCTCCAATTCTGCAAAATATTCAATTAGAACATGATTGTTGTCTGCCCGTTATTCATGGGCCAATATTACTATTTACATGTAATTGGGAATGAAAATCTGTCATTCCTGTGGCACAAAAATATTCCTAGTGGTTTTTTGATTCAGACTCTTTATTCTCATATCCTCCCTCCCCCAAAAAGCTAAAATGAAAAATAGAATCTATTAAAGGTGACTATCAAAGTTAAAAACTTTTTTTTCCATTTAGACCCAGGCTTCTTTTTCCATTACATTGATGTCTACTTATGGAGAAAAAAATTAATTGGTGCTAATTGGTGCATTCTCATAAAGAGTTTAGTAGGAAAGCCATTCAGTAAAGAAGAGCTTCCATGTAATTTTGCATATATAAACTGTACACATAGAACAAAATAGATACAGTAATTTTAGTTCCTTAACTGCCTCTTTCTGGGGAGAAATAGCTGAGAAAGAGTACTGGCAAACTGACTGATGTTCTTAGAACAAGCTTTCAGACTGCAAAATCTTTGAACATTATTGCTTAAGTATAAAATGCTTTATTTCTTAAGACAGCTTAGCTCAATCTATAGCATGCCTGACAGGCAATGTAGCTTCAAAAATATGTTATATAAACCAATTTTAAAGAGCTTTCCTCTACTTACCTGTTAATATCGTATCAAGTTTATCAACAACTAACTCTGCATCCTTTGTATTGAAACACAGTGGTGGCTTGAACTTAAGCACATTTCTGCCTGGCCCATCTGTGCTCAGCATAATGAATTCTTCCTTTAATCTAGAGAACCAGAAAAAAATGGCTGATTTTAGTAGGAGCAGCATAGGTTATTTACTTGGATTAGTATAATCATATAAAATCACATTTACAATGATATATGAGCTTTATTCATTGTTGGGCACAATGGGGGTTATGACTTTTGGCAGGATTTGGCATTTTTCTTAAACCTGTAGGCTTTAAGACCTGTCTGTAGCATGCACTCTTATAGTGGCATTGAGACTCTGCATGACCAAGAAGCTTACATGTTCCTAAATACTTTTAAGCTGGAGATGGAAAAATCATAAGGTCCCCTTTAAATTTGCCTGCCTTCATTGTGCAAGCATGATGGCTTTCAACATACATCATGGCTTCCAATACTGGAATGACAGAATCAATCTGAAAGGATTAATTACTCTTTACAAGAAGCTAGAGTCAAGCATTTACTTTTTTGCCCTTTGGGAAGAAGCCTCCTTCAGCCTTGGCTCTGTCTCCTTGAGACAAGGTGGATCTTATTCCTTTTATCAGCTTTAATCACTGAGCTAATGATAGGGCAGTGATGTGTAGAGAGAGAAAGAAAAATAGGCCAAATCTCAGAAAATTTTCATTGCTCCTTCCTCCCTCTCAAAAAACCTACTAGTAAGTTGGCTGAGGAATAGGGTGCACGCTTCAATAGTCTTGGGGAAATGATTCTTATTTCAGCTTAATCAGTAAATTCAAGATACCGAAGAGTGGGACCTGGAACTGCAAGACCAGTTCCATGATGTGGTCTGGTGTTAGTTAAAACACAGATGTGGATCACCTATCCAAGGTCAGGTCACATACAAGCCCTTCCTGAAATGACGATTGTTCTGTAAATTGCTCACACAAATGTTGATAAAAAAACAAGTACAAAAATGTAATTGCCATAGCCCTAAGAAATACCAGATTACAGAGGAAATCCATATCCAATTGTTATAGTAAAGATTCAGCAGTACCTTTTCACCCCCTGAAAATAGCTTATTGGCCCTGCAGCTTACCATCACTATGACACAACCCTCTAAACCCACCAGCGGTGAAAAGCCCAGCGGAAAAGATACTACCTAATAAATACTTTGATATGTATACGATTCTATACATATAAGATCAAGCTGGAATATGCTGTAGGATTGAAGAAAAAAATTTCTAACATGTCCAGGTATACAAAAGGATGTTCTGAGCCACCAAGAATTGGCAAAAACATCAGAACCATAAAGTACCATCAAAGTAACTCCTGCCAGGATTTTTCCCCATTTTATTCATGGTTCCCAAAAGGAATTGAAAATAGAGAATGGTGTTGAACTTTTAAGGGTCAGAATGAAGCCATCAGGTTATGAAGGTTTAAAAATGGAAGCAGATTACAGCACACGGTACCCTGTAGTTGATTTGCTTAAGTGAAGCAAAAGCAAAAAGGATCAATGCAAAATTCCTGCTTCCAAGGCAAATAAATTTGAGGCTTTGTAACTTCCAGCCCTACTCTATGTATTCCTACCAACACTGACACACACACAGCAGCAGGGAAGCAACTGATCTGGAAACCCTCTTCACCTGTTGGAACTAAATGAATGGACCCAGTAGTTGCCACTCTCTTTCCCTCAAGATGCCCAACTATTGTCAGAATCTACCAAATGGGCTGGCAAGCCTTCCAGAATTGATGTAAGAAACAAAATGTCATCAAGCAGCTCAGAAGGTTTCCTAGGAGGACTGAATAGGGATTGGCAGAGTCTACTGTTACAAACATATTACTTCATCCTCCTAGAGCAGGGCTGTCAAACACACAGCCCTGCATCATGGGCTGGCCATGCTCATGCCGGGTTTAGCAAAGGGGAAAAAAAGTCCCAATATGTCACATGACGACGTGAGTTTAACACCCCTGTCCTACAAGATCAGGAAAACCTTATCTTCTAGCTAGCAGAGGGATGCAGGCCTTTAGAGCAAATGGGAAGCCCTTAAAGCATCAGCTGGGTAACACTAATAGTGAAGGGAGTGGAGTTTTCATTTGGGGAAGCATATTAACATGTTTCATGGTTGATAGCTTGATTGTAATGGTTCAACACAATTTTTGAAAAATTGGTCACAATTTTTCTCACAATATGAGATCACTATGATTGAATACAGTTCTTAGATTGGAAAAAGTGGTTTCCTGAGGGATATAAGAAGGCTGTTTTTTATTTTCTTATCTAAAGAGATGTTAACACCTTAATTTAAGATCCATGTCCAAAGACCAAAAGACATTAAACAATAAACCCATTTTATTCAATAATTCATCTCTCCCATTCCTTTCTTATATACCTCAGATCATTATATATTCTTTGAGAGTATATTATAGCTATCCTTAACACTTGGAAAACTATCAAAGTGTTTGTTCTTTCCATAGTAGTGGAAGAATTTAAACATGTAACAATCCTGAGTTAGTATATATATAATCAAACTAGCTGTTCTGATATTGTTAAATCTGTATGCATATCTGAAAATATACCTAGGGTGCCCAGGGAGGAAATAGGGGAATCCAGGTATAGAACATTCTAGTGTTGCCTAATGTACACCAGGCCATCTGTTCCAGAGGTACCTTATAAATTGCTAGAAGCAATATAATTCTCCTTTGAGATCAGATCATGTCTTAAACTAATGACCATTTTCTATTCAAGATTACAAACTACTATCGGTAGTTTGCATTAGTAACTACATTGCTATATACCAGTGATGGCTAACCTTTTTCTTAAGGTGTGCCAAAACTCTGTGCGTGCTATCATGCACATGCACAAGTGATCCACCGTGCATGTGTGGGAGGGGGGGATTTTTGCCTTCCCCAGGCTCCAGAGGCTTTCCCAAAGCTTGGGAAGGGCAAAAAACGCCCAACAGCCCAACTGGAAGTTCGTGAATGAACTTCTGGTTGGGCCTCTTTTTTGCCCCCTCTAGGCTCCGGAGGCTTTCCTGAAGCCGGGGGAGGACAAAAATGGCCGCCTCCGGAAGGCCCAAAATCTGGAGCTGAGGGCTGCCGTGCTGGCAAATATGGCTCCGCATGCCACCTGTGGCACTTGTGCCGTAGGTTCGCCATCGGTAGTAACTACAATAAGTTACTATGATTCCATAGATTCTGCTTTCCTCTTGGGATGTATCAATCTGGCAGCTACTATTGGAGCAAGATTGATACATCCCAAGAGAAAAGCAGAATCTATGGAATCATAGTAATTTATTGTACATGGCATGTACAATTCTGCATACATAATGGAAAAGAGGTGTGCAAACTGCTAATTTCTCTATCTAATTCACTTGTGAAACATGGAGATACTGCTCACAGATTATTTCAGGAGATAGAAATAAGTACTGATCTCTTTTCCACTACCAATAAATTAAACTGTTCAAGCAAATAAACAAAACATCTCAGAATACCTTTACCTTGTTATGATAAATTCTGCTTCTTTGCTAGCAGGTGATCTTTTCTCTTGGTCTTGTACTAAATCTACACCTATAAATAGTCCAACACCCCTGTAAAAAACGAAGTAAAACGTGAAGTTACAGTTAGTTACAATAAACAAATGTGCAATTTGGGACTGCTAAAAATCATGCTAACAAACTATGTGGCAAGTATATGCTGCTTATATTAAATAATTGGTAAATGTTTTAAAATTGATACCTGATATCTCCAATTAGAGGATGTTTAGCTTTTTGTTGATTGAGTAGTTCCATAAAGAAGTTTCCCACATGAAGAGCGTGGGTTTGAAGCTCTTCTTTCTCAATAATATCCAGGACTGTTAGGCCTATTGCACAGGACACAGGATTTCCTCCAAACTATGAATGGGAGGGAGAAATAAATTTTCTACACAAAATTGTTTGCCAAAAGCAAGTATCATATGCCAGTAATAATTGCATATAATGTAGTAGCAATCTAGTAAATACCTTATGCAAGTATTTGAATAAATGTAACACTCAAATTACACTGAGATGCATTTTATAATGAAAATGTGGGTGACTGCTTACTGTGTTAAAATATTCTACTCCTGTTGCTGAAAATGCCTCTGCAATTTCCTTTGTTGTTGCCACACAAGCCACAGGATGTCCATTCCCTATTGGCTTTCCCATAGTTACAATATCAGGAATAAAATCCTCTCCTTGAAGTTGAAATGCCCAAAAATGTTTGCCAACTCTTCCAAAGCCAACCTGAATTTCATCAGCAATAAATACACCTCCTGCTTTGTGTATATGCCTATTAAAAGAACAAGAAATATATTTATGCAGAAATGGAACATATCTTATTAAATCAGTACTTCTGAACAATTTATTTAGGGTTAAAACAAATATCTCCAACAATTCACTTTTTCCAAAATTAAGCAAGAACCAAAAACAAAATCCCACCAAGAAAAAGTAAATATTTGTAAAGTTAAATCATTTCAGTTTTAATTACTGAAATCTTTGGGAATTAAAACTGGATCTTGCAGAAGTTAAACACCTTAAAAGTCCTTAACTTGGAAGTTTACTCTAAACAGAAAATATATGAATACTGCTTAGAATAAATTGAAACAGAAGAAAAGTATTAATACTTACTCTGCAACCTTTTGGAAATAACCAGATGGTGGAATGATTTGTCCAGCAACACTGGGCAATGATTCTACAAAAAGTGCAGCAAACTGAAAGTGTATATAATGTAATTAGTAGACACATACATAATACATCTGCATGTATCTGTCTTTTTGGATATATTAAAGCTTCTAATTTAGAAATCTCAGGTACTACAATTGAGTACTACTAACAACTACTTCAACATATAAGAAATCTTAACTAGCTAAACAACAGTATATATTTGAACTTTTTTCTTGCCGAGAACTATGAGTTATAGCCAACAATGTGTTTCTTTTTCTCGAAGATGATGTTTCACCACTTAGATTCTTTAGGATGCAAGAACATTACTCAAGAGCCGAGGTGGCGCAGTGGTTAAATGCAGCACTGCAGGCTACTGCTAGATCAGCAGTTCAGCGGTTCAAATCTCACCGGCTCA